GGTGTCAGAGTGGGCACCTGTGACCAGCGGGGTCCCACAGGGGTCAGTCCTAGGACCATTGCTGTTTCTGGTATTTGTGAACGACATGACGGAAGGATTAGACTCTGAGGTGTCCCTGTTTGCAGATGACGTGAAGTTGATGAGAAGGATTCATTCGATCGAAGACCAGGCAGAACTACGAAGGGATCTGGACAGGCTGCAGACCTGGTCCAGCAATTGGCTCCTGGGTTCAACCCCACCAGTGCAAAGTCATGAAGATTGGGGGAAGGGCAAAGAAGACCGCAGACGGAGTACAGTCTAGGGCCAGAGACTAAAAAACCTCGCTCAAGGAAAAGATCTTGGAGTGAGTATAACACCAGGCACATCTCTTGAACCCCACATCAACCAAATAACTGCTGCAGCATATGGGGCGCCTAGCAAACCAAGAACAGCATTCCGACATCTTAATAAGGAATCGTTCAGGACCCTGTAACACCGGGGTACGTTAGGCCCATAATTGGAGTGCGGCACAGTTTGGAACCCAAAACCCTAGCCAAGCACGTAAAGAAACTAGAGAAAGTGCAAAGGTTTGCAACAAGATTAGTCCCAGAGCTAAGAGGTATGTCCTACGAGGAGAGGTTAAGGGAAATCAACCTGACGAATGGAGGACAGGAGAGTTAGGGGGGACATGATAACGACATACAAAATACTGAGAGGAATTGACAAGGTGGACAAAGACATGATGTTCCAGAGATGGGACACAGCAACAAGGGAACACAGTTGGAAGTTGAAGACACAGATGAATCACAGGGATGTTAGGAAGTATTTCTTCAGCCACAGAGTAGTCAGGAAGTGGAATAGTCTGGGAAACAATGTAGTGGAGGCAGGATCCATACATAGCTTTAAGCAGAGGTATGATAAAGCTCATGGTTCAGGGAGAGTGACCTAGTAGCGACCAGTGAAGAGGCGGGGCCAGGAGCTTGGACTCGACCCCTGCAACCTCAACTAAGTGAGTACACACACACACACTCACAAAGCTACACACACATACACACACACACACACATACACACACACAAAGACACACACACATACACACACACACACACATACACACACACACATACACACACACACACAGACACACACACATACACACACATACACACACACACACACAAAGACACACACACATACACACACACACACACACACACACACACACACACACACACACACACACACA